TCCTCTACATATTGCTCTAAATTTATAGCAAAACTCTTAGGGAGTGGGAGAAGGAATTCAGAAAGGGTGCATTAACAGTACTTTCCCAGTACAGCAAAAGTCCTCTCCAGGAAGAGTGAAGTTTCCTAATTTTAGTGCTTCCAGTGGCAGCAGCAGGACAGCAAGTGCCTCCTGAACAGGTGGAGTGTGGGTGTTTGGGGAAGGTGGTGGTATGCAAGAAGGTTTTATGAGAGAATGTACTCTTTTCTCTGTCACACAGAAGATTCAAAATAGGCTGGATCATTTGGCTTGCAAAGCTAAATACCCTCCTTCCCTGCCAAGATATTTCCCTACCATTCCCCGAAATTTAAACTTAAAATGTTAAGGGAAGAATGAAGGGGAGAGAAATGTCTAACTTTTATGACTATGAAGAAAACTCACACAGTGTATATGTGCTGTCCATAAGCCAGTGCACTGGTATTTGAGACCAAACAGAGAAATACTAACTACCCTGTATCATGTCACAAACCCAAAAGAGACCGTTCAAAAGTTAGTGTTAGCTTTTTCAAAGCCAGCAGAAGCATACTGCCCTCTGTTGAAGCACTCTGTCTCACACACCCTAAAGGCTCTTTAACATTTCATTCAGCTGCCGCAAGCAGACAGAGCCTGGTGCAGCTCTACTGTCTCTGTGTCCTATTTGATCTAACTTGACCCAGCCCTCCCTAAAAGGCTGTGCCAGTGAGATGTAAGAGACAGAACACAAGGGACTGAGCGAAGCTTCATACTGGGGAAGCAGACAACTAACAGCAGCAGGAGTCTCTGGTGCAAAGGAGCAGAGGTTTGCCTAAAAGGATGGGACAAAATGGCTCCAGGGACAATGGTCCTTTGCAGCTTACAATGGTTAAAGCTAGAGTGAAGCGATGAAACAACCAAAAAATATTTTGCCTTGTAGCTATCACCTCAGAATTGTGCATATTCCTGTCCACCGAGTAGAAAGCCTCCTCTGCAAAGTAGGGAAAGGTAAGGTATTTCATGTGCTGAAAACACCTGAACTCTAATGATGCAGATCTACACCTGATGGGAAGTGATTGGTCTCCTCTTCTGACAGATACAAAAATGTTTAGTGGCAGTGGATAGGAAGGCAAGGAAAAGAGACCTTTAATGTCTGTCTCAGAGCCATCACTTCACCTTCCCACACTTCTGTACTGTATCCTACAAATAGACACATTTCCCTGAATCTAAAGAGAGATTGTTTCCTAGGAAATTTTCCTCTTAATTTGTAGAGTCCTTCCAACCTTTAGCAGGAAATTAGTTTTTCAAGTGGCATGAATGTACTACGCTCTTTTTTTGTTAGTAATTATAATTCCAGTTGTCCTGGGTCTAGGGAGAGGTTAACATGCATCACTTTGCACTGTCTAAATGATGCTGCGGGGACTGTGTCGCAGGCATGCTGCAACGCTTCCAGAACATCTTCAAATCTCCTGGAAATGATAAGTTCGTAAACCTTTGAGAAAGGCAGAAGTGCAGACCCGACGACACGCTCGTATGCTGCAACATCAAGGAAAGAATAGGAGAGGGCTCCTGTGTGCCCACTAGTTTCACAGCAGTGACTGCAGCTGGGAGCTGGCCAACACAGCAGAAAGCATGTTCTGCACAAGATGAGACTCGTGTTGTAAACAGGTAAACTCGAGAAAGAAAGAAAAAGTGGAATCATGCTTGGTGGGAAAGGTCAAAGCAAAAGTCTGTGTCTCTTGCAGACAATTAGAAAGAAAATCCTCTAATTTGTTGTTGTTGCTTACATCCTTTGTTTGCTTCTTCCCATCTTGCAGTTTGACATGGCATTCCTTCCTTGTCTGACCTCAAGAAACTGATTTATAATGACAAAAGTCATGAACATCATTTTTACTTGATAGTTGCTTTCTCTTTGGTTCCACTCTTATTTTCCAAAGAATGTGTTCTTCGCTTTTAGAAAAATCAGAGCTATTCAAGAACTTAACTGTTAAGCCATAGCTTAAGTCTCTTTAAAATATTAACAAAGCAAACAAATAAACAATATCCAGCCACAGTTATAGAGGAATTAAATGTTTCTGAAGTGTAAGATGTTTTGTAACATCCAAACTGTTCACCCTTATTAGTGCGAACACATCTTCCTTTCCCACACTGTCCGGAAATTTCAGAAAGTTGGGGATACTTCTCCTAGTCTCTACTACAGAGATACTGTATTTAATTCCCTTTCTCTAAAAAGATTTGAATGTAAATTTAAAGTGAAAGCCCCCAGTAAGCATTTTGTCATGGGGTTGCACCACCTCTGTAAATTCTCATCTATCTGTTTCGATCTTTTTTTTGGTCTTCTTTTTCCTCCCTAAGGACATTTTCCGCCAGAAGTTGAGCCGAAGTTGAAAAATCTCCGAAGCGATTCAGGGCATGACGCTCGCTTCTGGAAAGAGGAGACCGACTGAAGCGTCACTGGTATGTCCAAGATGCACTGATGGGATGGGTACTACCGTCGACTTAAACTAGCAACGGGGTGAGCCTCCCTGGGACGTACCCTCGGGGCGAAGCCGAGCCAGCAGGGATTTTGGGCCACAGCCATTTGCAAAAACCCGCGGGGGGCGGGGGGCGAGGAGCGCAGCGAAGCTCTGCCCGGCCCTGGGCGGGAGCGCAGCCCGCCGCCGGCGGCCCTCAGCGGGGCCCGGCCCGCCCCCCCGCCAGCACCCTGCCTGCCCTAGGGCACCCACCGGCGCCGTTATTCCTCCCCCAGCTTTACAAATAAGGCTGGGAAGGACCCGACAACGGCGCGGAGGAGCAGCCGCCGCCGCCCGGCGCAAGGGCCGGGGCGCTCCGGGGGGACCCCGCGGGCACCGCGGCCGCCTCCCCCCCCGGGGTGGGACGGGGCGGGGCGGGACGGGACGGGACTCACCGACCTGACGAGGGGCCCCAGCTGCAGGAGGTGCAGCAGCAGCACCAGCGGGCGGTCGCGGCTCACGTCGCGGTGGATGAAGACCAGGCTGAGCTGCACCAGCGCGCAGGGCAGGAGGGCGAAGAGCAGCGTCAGCCACTGCCACATGCGATCCCCCGCCGCGCGGTACGCCCCGCTCAGGCACAGCGCGGCCGCCGTCTCGGCCACGAAAAGGACGAGGGAGACGAGGACGGAGCCCGGGAATTTCATCGCCGCCCGCGGGGCGCGCTGCGACCGCGCTGTAGGCCGCCCCGCGCCCGCCGCGCCCCGGGCCCGCCCAACCGCCGCGGCGCGGTGAGGTGCGGTGTGGCGCCGCGCCCGCTAGGGGGCGCCCGCCGGGGGCAGCCGGCGGCGCGGCCGCCGCGCTCCGGGCGGGCCGGGAGGGGCCCGGGGTGGGCCCCGGGATGGCGGCCGGGGGTCACGGAGGCGCTGAGGCTGTGTCTTGGGCAGAGGCGGGGACGTGGTGTAAACGGAGGAGCGATCCTCGGTGGCGGGCGGGGAGCGCCGCCGCGTCGCGTCTCCTTTGGCCGTAAAGTACATAAGGGAGCTAAGGGAGGGGGGGTGTGTGTTGGTGGGGAGGTGGGGCTGCTCTTCAGGGGGATCTCGGCAGGCTGGAGAAATAGCTTGGAAGGAGGGGGTAAGGGCAAAGCGCTGCAGCTGGCAGAAAACAACCCTGTGCAAGAATAAAGGCTGAGGAACAGCTGATGTAAAAAAACAACCAAACAAAACCCAACAAAAAAACCCAACAACAACAAAAAAACGGTGCGGAAAAGGAGCTGTGAGTCCCAGTAAGCCTCCCGTGGTGCACCTAGTTCAGAGACCTCCTCACCAAATGAGCAAGACTGCTGACGGAGGGGCCGTTTTACCACTTTGTCAGGTGGATCTTAGCCCTGCTTGTCAGGCCTTGTCCTTCAAAGGCTCCTAGGGTCACAAAACCCAAAGCCCTGCTGCGACACCAGCCGTTGGCCAGCAGCACGTGCCTGCTTTCCCCTGGCCTTTCCCCTCCACCAGCAGGAGCCAGAAGACCACCCCATGCCTTTCTCCCTTGCCACCACAGCTCCAGAGCCTGTCTGGGTATGCGTGAGGTCCCCCGGCAGCGTCACTGACACCCGCATGGACGAGCAGCAGGAGGTAATAAAGAGCCTGAGAGCAGGACGAGCCTTTGCAGTCTCTCCACAACACCCTGAGTCTGAGCACCTGGCAAGAAATGAAGCTCAGGTTGGCACACGGTGCTTGTATCCTGCGCTGGGGGAGCCTCCCATCACCACCACTTATCGCCTCCTCTTGGTGCAGGCACTTGGTTCATGCTCAGCTGGCTCTGATGCCTGCCCTGGTAGATCTTGTTTCTCCTTGCCTCTTCCCAGGTAATTACAGATCTGCATGTGGATGTTAGCTACAGCCCCAAGACCTACCAGGAACACAACAGGAAGGCAAGATACGGAGTTTGAGATGCTATTTGCCTATTAAAGAGAGAACACTAATGGCTACTTCTGCATGTCTGCTATTTTTTCTTTATTCTTTTCTGCTATTTTTTAATGCAACTTGGGCTGTCACCAGATTTATACAAAAAAATATCAGTAATGCTTTCTTTGGGCCATTTATTGAACTGCTGCTCTGGCAAATCTGGAGTCCCATTGCTCACCTCTAGTTGAGCTCAGCTCGCCATGGCAAAGATGGAAACCTTGTTACGTGCAGGCCAAGGTGAACTTAAATGATCTAGTGCCCTTCACTGGGAATGGAGGGGTCTTTCTGGAAAGAGAAAAGGCTGCGTGTTCTGAGATTTAAGCAGGCTGGAAATAAACACCTCAGTGGCAAACTTTAATCTACAGGCCAAAAGCAACCCATCTTCCCTTATCTCAGGGGAAACTACCATGAGGTAGTTTTACCATATTGCTATGTGCAGCCTGGATGTTTTGTCTCATTCTAAGATTAATGGTTTTACCTCTGATAGCACAGTACCACTGAAAAGCTTTTGGAGCCCTGAGTCATGACTGCTCCAGAAGGAAAACTTGCCAGCACAGGGAAAGATAGGTACAGAAATAAGCAATCCAATGCAAAATCATACTGTTCAAGGTTGAGCGTTTATTTAAGGCAAAATATAATCACAGCTTTAATATTCATAATACCAATATACACAGAGTTTGTTCTGCCACTATGAAGCTTTGTACTATCACTGCTTTTAAAAAGCTATAAAATCGAGTTTCTATCATAATCTACAATACAAAACTAATACAATAAACACATTTTGAAAGATCACAGTGTTTAAAACATTAGAAGAGCAGGGGTCCTGCTTTTAAACAGTAAGGTGCATTTCTAAAGAATCAAATCAACCTCAATTCTAAGGGCCTGTACCATATTGTGGCAGCAAATGGCTACTACGCTGAGAAACCAATCTAGGGTGCGGCAAGTACTTAAGAAATGAACACTGTATGTTGGAATATATTGAATAATCAAGTGGCACCAACACAGACTAGACGTGAAATAATGCCATTTAAGTTCCCTGTACTTTTTATTGGTATTGGCATGCACGTATATTGCAGACATATTGAGGGAAAATGGGTATAAAACTGCAACTGATTAGGGCCCTAGCAAACACCTGTGCTTTTCCCTTACTGTACGAACAAGCCTTCTTAATTCTATGGGACTCGTGTAAAGGAAAGTTTGCAGGCTTGGGGTCCGGAATGATGCAGGTTTGCCCCTACTTCACACGTGTGGAAGGACCTAACCTTGCAGGCCTGAAATCAAGTGGAGATTCACCACTGATGTCAGCAGGTGGCATATCAGGACATCAAAATGAGCACAGGAGACCAAATCAGTGGCAAAATCAGACCACTGTTGGAGGAAATCTTTTCTTCTTTCATGTGTGTTCATGGTAATGAAGACAGAAGCAGAGTTCAGTGTCTGGTCAGACAGACTCTCTCATCTCTATGAAGTAGAAATAAACGTTTGAACAGGATTTGTCTTCTATTTACTATGGGATATAATTGACTTCAGGACTTCTGCATAAAATTTTCTGGGGAGTAAGCATGTATAGTCATGCAGTGCTGTTGGTGAATATCACTGCATTATGAAGTATCTTTTATTCAAATATCATTATACCACTAGGCAAAAAAAGTTTTAATTATCCGCCATTCTAGTTGGTGTTGCTGTACTTGACCTAAATGCCTCCACCTTCTCTTTGAGTCATGCAATGAACAAAGCCAAGGGACTCTCTTGTAAGTATTAAAAAAAACCCATATGCCCATTTGTATTTTCAGCAGATTGCTGTTTATAAGTTGACTTTTTTCAGAACATGATGTAAAATTTTAAATATACAGGGCACAAGACCAACAGTGACATCAGTGACAGGACAAATTAATCAGGAGGTTTAATAACTCAAAGGCAGGTCGAAAAGTTGGTGCATGTTCGCTTCTTGGATATATTATTTTAAACTGCCTAAGCATCTATAGTGTACACTACTTCTGTTCCATTAAATGATAGGAGTTGGCAGTAGGTTCAGCTGCAGGCAACTCCTTCACAGGCAGACTTTTTTCAGCACACGGTGACTTTGCTGTAATGGCAATGAAGCGCTGTTCAAGGCAGCTAAAACTTGCACAATGCACACTGTAGCACTATCTGTGCAATGAAGCAAACTGTGCTATTCTCTTGAAAAATGCCTACTCACATCCCTAAAATGCTGTATTGTTTTGTGGGCCCTGAGCATTTTTGTCTTATGGCTTTGAAGTATGTTGTTCCCTCAGTAATGTGATTTTTGGTCATTTTCTTATTTCTTTCAATTTAGCTTTCTGCTGCTTACTACGTAGTCCAGGACATATTTATACAAAGTGAAATGTCTTCTCAGAGCAATCTAGACTGTGCTGTTAGCCAGCAATTGCTCACTGGTGTAGTTCTTCACAGGAAGATTACCCTTTAAAATATACAGGGCAATTTTTACTCCTGATATGCTGATCTTCCTACAGATTAGAATATGCACTCATGCCAGTGAATATTTAAGGTATGTAGGAGAAGATTACCGCACCTGAGATTTATTTGGCAGACCTCAGAGATACACTCTGTCCATGGATCTTATAGGTCCAAGTAACAAGGATATATACTCAAAATGCATGCATACACTAAAATAGGTCACTGTTTGCATAAAACATGCAATAGGTTGGCAGATGCTATAACTGTATTAGCAGATAACAATGTAAGTACAAAAATCTCATTGCTTATGAAAATTTCCATTTGCACATATTGCACCTGTATGTTTCTGAATACATCAGATACCTGCATGTTGGTTATCTGGTTTATTTTTTTAACAGCATTTTAAAAACTAATCAGTATTCTTATTATATTTTCTACATGTCCATATAATAATTATTAGAACATCAAAGTGGCATTACTTAGTTTCACAGATAGCAAAAAGGGTGACCACTTTACTTGCATTAGTTTGTGCATATTTCCCAGAACTATTTAAATGTGTATTTTGGGAAGTTTATCCACTTCAATTGTTTTTGATTGTCTTAACAGAATTGAGATACTAGAGAAGGGAACATGCTCCCTGGAAAGTCTCTCTCTGTTTTATTTAATGATGTAAAACATCATTGACAGTTGTTACACAGTATAATGAGTTTTCCTTAGCAGGTGGGAAATGGCAGAACCACTGAGAAAAGACCATGTAATAATGTAATGCAAGTAAGTGGAACACCCCTCTTAAGCAAAATTAATCAATCTTACTTTCAAGAACAAAAGACCTGGGCTGCTGCTTCAGTCTTCTGAAGTTATTCATAGGTTGGGAAAGAAAGGCAGGGAAACTGAAGGAAACAATGATGCAGGCAAAGCAGATACTGAAAGCAGTGGCACAAAACGAGTATGTTATCATGCTGAGAAGTTGTGAGTAGCAGAAAAAAAATAAGGTATATGTGTTATAACTGTACTCTCGATGAAATGTATTCCATCTGGGTCTGTGAATCCTGAGATCACCAAGTCTGGACATCACAGATCTAGTTTCCCTCAAAATTATTCCATGACAGTAATCTCTGGATGACCTACTGAAAGTCATGAATACTACAGAGCTCCTTAAACTGATGTGTAATCTACAGATTTACTCACAAACAGCACCACACAAACACAGGTACATCACAAATAAGCACCAATACCCACACAATGCATCCTGTTTGCTTTAACAGCATAATCAGAAATACTATTAGATCACTTAAATTCCTATTGCCTACACTTTAGAAACTAAACACAGTCAAGAAACTAATGTGCAAACATGACGTAATAACTTGTGTTTCACAATTTGAAAGAGGCTTCTCAAGTTCCCACTAACAGAGTCTTTTGTCACAGCACCATGGCGGAATCTGTTCAGGAATATACTTTTTCAGTCTATTAGGGCCCAATTTGGGAGCAGGAGGATCCCGCTGAGAATGTCTAGCAAAGGTTGCTGTGATTGATTTCTTGCAGCGGTAAGGAGGAAAGATGAAGGACCTTATTTTTTTATTACACTGAAAAGTGCTGATGGCTCTGCTCAGGTTGCTCTTCTGTCAGTGTCTTAAAAGCAATGAATAAAGGTTGCAACAGCATGTATGTGATAGCATATATAGTACATAGGAAAAAAAGCAGACAGACAATTAAGAGGAGGAAAAAGATGAAAAAAAACCCTGCTCATTTAATGATTGGTGTTTTCAGAAGAGCCCTGGGGATATATTTACACTGTGTTCAGAAGCTGTGACTACAGCACGTCTAGTAGCCACCTTAGCCCAGCTAGGTCAGGTAAGAAAAGCCACGAAGCTCTAAGAATGAGCTCAAACTGCCATTTTCTGATGAAACAGATGAATAATTATGTTCCAAGATTTTACAAGATGTATCCCATGAGACTGGACGTTTATCTTAAGCATCAGTAAACAAAGTTTGCTCGCTGCCCTTGCTGAAGTCAGTGCCAAACTCACATAACCTGCAGAGAGATGTTCGGGACCTAGATTTTGAAAACTGGGTGGTTGCACGGGTTTTCTCATTGTTGAATGGACTAACTCTTACTCAAATAACTATTTTTTTTTTCTCACAGGAGTAGTATCAAGTCAAACACATGGCTTCATATATGGAGTACGGCTGCAGAGACAGGAGATTTGTTTTGTGGGTGCTGTTGAACACAACATAGACAGATCAAAGCCTCCTCTGGATGTAAATCAGAAGGAATTAATTCTACAAAGAGACACACAGGGAAAACTACTAGAAAACTGACATGGAATTCTTAATGTGTATTTCCTGCCATTTATGAAGAATTTCATTAAAAGATAAATGCAAACATGACTGTTGGAAATTAAGCATAATAAAATGGAGCAATTTTATCTACTATTATGGTAAATTTTAACATATATGTGGTATAAGTTACAATAACAGCATTCATGACTTGGTCAGGATCTAAGTTACCGTACTGATTTATTGTGCTCTAGATTTATTGAGGTTTTGGCAAAGATTTTCTTCTTCAGGCATCTCCTGAGAAATAACTAACTGGAAACAATTAAACGTCGTGGCCCACTGATAATTAAAAAGGAGGCAACTGGGGACAAAATGAGAAGGTCATGATTATTATTCTGACATGTGTAGATTCTGTTAAGGCTTAAGTTTGAAGTTGTTTGGGGTTTTTTTGAAGGTGTAGTTATCAAAACACTAAGTGCTTTTGGTTTATGTTTGCATCTCTAAATGAAAGATCAGCAATAAATGCAGGATTACAAAAGCTTGAGTCTAGGTCATGGCAGAATCTATTTCTCTGTCTCACAGTAAGACAGAATACAGTTACAGTAGCTATCTAAATGCTATAGCCCAAATGTTGTTACTTACATGTTTTAGCTGAGTGACATTACCCTACAATAAATATTGAGACTGAAAAGCTAGTGACCGCATTCCAGTTATGAAATTTATTAGACACCTGCATTACAGGAAGCAACTAGAGAAGGATCCTAATAGACTCAGGATCGTCACTACTGACAACTGACTTTGCTCTGATCTAACAAGAGCATTTCAGCCTGGCCAGGCAGAGCACATGCACATCTCCATTGACTTTTTGGTTTAGCCTCACATGTATACAAAAGTAAGTGATATTAATGGCTTTATTAAAAGACCTTTTATCCCACAAATAATAAACACCTAATAACGTAGGTGTGTAACATTTCCATTCACAAAAAAATGCCTAAATTCTTGACAAACTGATACAGAAATGCATTGCTTTATTCACCACTGAAATATGGTTACTTCTATGATTAAGTAATTAATTAGAGCTGCACAGCCCAAGACAAAATAACAGAAATCCTAATCTCAGCTCATAATAATGCAAGCTATCTTACTAAAATGACAGTGGCAAAAGCAGGAATGAGATGGATACATTAAAAAGCAGCAGTGTTGCAAGACCTGGCTCCAGCTTGTAGCCTGATCAAGGGCCACTGAAATTAAATAGGAACTTTAATCCATTAGGCATTAAAAATAAGGAAATTGTAATCTCCTCCAGCTGAGAATGCAGGAAGAGGGACTGCATTGTTTGGCAGTGCATGTAGGTCAGCTTTTTCACTCTACCTGCATTTTTTGACATACTGGTCTTCCCGATCTGTCTTTAAAGGTAATTGCATTACATTATTCCCACATAAATAAAAATAAATAATAAATAATAAATATATTTTAAACACAGATATTGATTTTAGAGGTTTTTTTAGTACAAATCTACATTAGCATTTTCTTTAGCTTTCAAGTACCATGTCATATATATATACTACATATAAAACAGCATAGAATTGCAACCTTAAGTACTAGTGCCACTAGTGTGGAGCAACCCATTTATTTCTATAGCTAAAAATCATTTGGGAGTATACCTTATTTTGTTAACCAGGAAAAGAAGCATTTTTGAGTTTTGGTACCAGGCTTTTCTTAAGATCAGTATGCCATCCAAGGTTTGCATTCAGATTGCAGGGTTTGTAGTGAATAATTCATCAAGAAAAATAGATTTTCTGTTCTCTGAAATATGTATGTTATTGTTCAGAAATGTTGCTATAGGTAATTAATTTGTAAAGGAAGCTTTTGTATCACTGAACAATATGTATCTAGTAATGCTGTACTGTGAAGAAAGCATCTGCCTCCTGTATCTTTGCTATAGAACCTTTTTGATCCAAGTCTTCTACAGGGCTCCACTCATCTTCCCTGTGACAGAGAGAGTATTGACAAGAAGTGACACGGTTACAGTAAATAGTAAGGAGACCAGCTCCTCGCCACAGACTGAGCTCCTAAAGGAAGGGTCAAATTCAGTTTCATTTATACACGTGAAACCCCACTAACTGAAATGAACCCATGAAACTACAAGTTGAGTATACAGCTATCCACATAACTATTATTATATGCATATGAAGATGAAACAGCTCCAAGATACAGGTATTTCTAATACATGTTACTAGAACTAGTGGATGTGGTTTAGGTAAAAAATCCCAGATTTTGCCTTTGTGCAGTGTAGTGATGTGTCTATGATACCCTCCCCGATAAATGCATCGCTGCATGAAGATGTTTTTGCAGGTCTCTTTAAAACCTACTGGATGCATCACTTTCTTATTTGCATGTCTCTGTAATTCCAGCGTGCCTTTTTTTTCCCTCTGCGTAACCACCAAATTAAAAGTTGGATAATGCCCCTTTCTCTCTCACTTGAATAATTAGATTTTGCTTCTTATTAGAGATAAATATCCACCCCATCAGATTCAATCACTTCCCCATATTTTTTTCATTGACCAATTTTTTTTGACCACACACTTCCCTCCCAAAGCCTCAGTGTATTTTCTTTTTTAACCTGACTCCCAGTTACATTAAGGCTAGCATTAGTGGTACCACTGGCTTGTTCTGTAAATAGCCTCTCTTGACAAATAAGTGAAACCGCAGTGCCCTCTCCCCTCGCCACTGGGATGTGGCCATGAAGAATGTTGCTCTCTAGACAAAGACACTGAAGAGAGGAAACTCAGCTTGGTTGGGTTGCAGCAAGTCAGTCAGGAAACACACAGTTCCCGAGAAGCCTTCATACAGACTATATACACTTTCTAATGCCCGGGAACCAGCCTTAAATTCTTCTGTAAATAAGAACTCTGCAAACCTAAGAAACAGGAAAAAAAAAAAAAAGTTTGTTATTATTTGGTGTCACTGTATGTCTACTTAGTTGTCATTTGAAAACATCATTTTAGTAACACTCGATTAAAAAAAAATAGAATGTTCATTATTTAACCTTATGTGAAAATTTTACTCTCTGATTTCTACAATAAGCTAAGGTTCATGAGATCTAGAAAAGCTGAACCTTTGTGAACTGTTTGTGTGTTATGCTTCTTTGAGAGCTATAAACTTTCTCTGGTTTCTATGAGACATATTATTAGGCAAATACTTTTTAATAACTTTTATCTTGGTTGTTGTTTCAGCAGGATGCAAGCAATGTTTCACATCAATGCAACAAATTCTATAATGCTGAAATAACTACACAAATAAAAACGTTCTCACTTCAAACAGCTGAAAATAAGTCACCCTAATTTCTATATCTCTTCCCCTCATTATTCTATGCTGTAAGGAAAACAGTAGCAAACATTGAATACTATGTTTTTAAACGTGTACAGTAAAATACAGAAATACAATTAAAGATAATTGCAGCCCTGTGACAGAATTTTCAGTGGATCACGCTTGCATCAGGACAAAATGGAATTAACCCCACTAGCTAAGCTGAACAGCACAGTGTCAAACTGGCTAAAGCTGTGAGTGATAAGTTAAAAAACCGTAAAATAACAGCAAATCAGGTCCTATACTTATTTTCCACTTCTATTAGTAAGAGGTAGTGTTAAATGCTCTGAAAATCATAACAAACCACGTTTTACTGCTCCTGGACTCGGGACCTCACGTCAGGATGCGACCTGGATGCGGGCCGTTGCTCCCCCGGCCCCCTCTGCAGGCTCTCGGGCCGGGGGGGCCGGGAGAACCCGCCTGCCTCTCCCCCCCCCCCGGCCACAGGCAGCCTGGAAGCAGCACCACAGGGCTCCCTGCAGAGTGCGCCCACCCTGCACCTCGCAGGCAGAATTGCACCCGAGGCTTAAACGCTCAGGTTGGAGCCGAGGGGGGTGATCACAGGGTGAGCAGCCCTATAAACCTGAGGCTGAGACCTGAGCAGAAAGTTCCTGAGACTTTCTGCTATTCACCTAAAGCCAGAAAGGTAGGAATGCCAACCTTTGCGCCCTGTATATGTACTTTGAGTTTCCAGTGAGCCTGTACAGCAGCAGGAAGACATACGCGCTACCGGCCACCCCATGGCATATTCCAGGTCCCTTCTTCAACAGGCCTTTCCGCCAAGTTAGCTCTCCACAGCGGATGCAAGTGTCCAGATATTGAGGCTTCTTGGAAACCAGGTAAGCTTTGGCAAACAGATATGCGATGCCTAGGAAAACAGCCGTGAGATTGTCTTTTGTAATAGGCAGGCCAAGGGTTTCATAGAACACATAAGAAAATGAAGATTAATGCACTAAAAAAATGCAGTCTCACGCTCTATACATGTCAACGTTAAATATCTATATGGTACATATGGAGGGCAGAGGATCCAGTATACTAAGAAGCATATGGTAACACGTACTTATCCACTGCCTGTGACAACACTTTTAATCTTTTCAATGCATTACTGAATTTCAGGGTTTGCTCTAACATTCTCAGACTTCTATTAATTTAAAACAGTAGTCAAATTTTTGCCTTTAAAATAGTAAACTCTTAGCACTGTCTTCTACTGGTTTCAAATCCCCATCCACTTCACCTATTTACACAAGCAGAAACAAAAGGATGGGCAAGATAATTTATTACACTTTGCAACAGATGAAATTTTTTACTGAATGAGAAAAAGAAACTAGATTTTTTTTTCCAGTGAGGCCCATGCTGCTTTATTTTAGATATAAACAGTTATGTATACTAACTGTTGTTTAAAAAAAAAAAAAAAAAGCTATTTGGCTTCTTTTTAGAGGGGATTCAAATAACTTAGTCATAATCTTCAACTGAGCACTGCATAGCTCAGTTCATGGTAACCTTAAAAGAATGCATACCGCACACAACCAGGTAAAGTGCCTCGGGAAGCGTTTAGAATAGCTCACTTGTGGTCTGAATATAATATACACTGAAGTAGCTGAAAATGTTCTTGTAAGCTACATGTGTGTTACTATCCAAGAACAGTGATGGAAAAAGGATTTTCTGGGGAAGAACAATAGGAATTGATGAATCTGCATGTCTCTAAATGTCTCCTAACTTTAGGAGACATCTGGGATACCCTTTGGGATTTTGTCACATTGGTTGAATCTCACTGCATCTGTCTCCACTAACAGTTAAACCAAAGTCAAAGGCCACTCAGGATACTGAAACAAAGAGGGCATCTTCCCTGCAGGCTTTATCAATAGGCCAGACATGCTGCAGACATAATTTTTTCCTCTTAAAAATAAAAAAAGTTGGTAAGCAAAAGCTGTTTTCATTTCACTTCAGTAGAGTGCAAGAGCAAGAAGCTTGTTCCTTAATCATATCAACAAAAAGCACATTTAAGGGTTGTTAATTATAATGTATTTTTTGTAATTTAGATTGAACACCTTTAAAAACAATCCATCAATGCTCATGGACATTCTTTAATAAAAGTAATTTTTTCTGTAGCCTCCCAGGTTCATGTTACCAAGCCAATATGACTAGTTAGCAATAAAATTCTGCCTGGGGGTAAAAAAGCAATTTCAATATACAGCATTACTTGCCAAAATTGCTAAAGTGTAAGATTAAATTCTGTACTGACAGACATCAGCCTTACCTCACGAACCCAAACTAAGGATTGATTCTTTTTCTCTGAAAAGCAGTTTTATATGGGTGACTTTCAGAAAAAAAGCCTCTCCCTTTCACATTAAAATACTTTGGTCAAATTTATGCATTATTAATGTAAGTGCAGCTTAAACTTTGATTCTGGTGGGGGGGAAAAAAAAGCTATTCTGAAGGCCTCCCCAAACTCACAGATGTGTCTGCATCTGTGTTCTTTAGCATACTACTTCTCTGTCCAGCTATATGCCGACTCTGCTGTACCATTCCTTGAGGTCTTGTCATGAAAGGGATCAAGAGCAGAAAACATACAGTTCAGGATCACCAGAATTCTTTCAGCTGTGATCACCTACGCTCTTAAGGCAGAAAATATGCCTATCCTTCCAGCAGCTTCTTAACTGGAAGAAAAAGCCTAAATCATTTGCCTGCAGTTCATAAAATGTCAAGTCAAATTTAACCAGAGACTATCTTCTATATGGAATCACCTAACATGGAAAAACAATCTGATCAGAATCTGGCTACTCATAGCACCCATGGAAAAGAACCTGGAGCTCCATGACACCAGTGTACAAGCTCATTCTCCCGCTCGATTGTCTCTCCCAGCTCAGGAGGCCAGTTGCTGTTCTGTTCTTGATCCATAAGAAAATCAACGCTCTGCCACACAAGCTCCTGATCTGCTGGCTGCAGGTACTCATAATAGGAAAGCAACATCTGAAGAATTGATGAAAGCCCATGTGCTGCACCTGTAAAGAACAGAAACAGTCAAATCAGAGGGTAGGTTTTGGTCCTACCTACACCTCATGGCAACTCTCCCTTGGAACTGATTTCCTTATCAAATGCATGGCTCTTTCATCTTCTTCATGCATTTGACAATAGTGCTTGGGATAAAAGCTTTCTAGGTGCATGACACTATCATTTGTTACTACTTCTGTCATTTCCAGTTCCCCTAGCTATGCAAAAATATGTATTCATTTTTTCGGCTCTCACTCTGTTATGACTGAAACTCAGTGCAGTAAGTTCAACTGAACTGAAACTGAATACTGTTTCAAGACGTTATCCTTCTTTACACACTACTGAATCTGGACCATTATTCTGAAGTCTTTGTTGAACCCACGCTGAAACTGGACCGTAAGTGGTATTCCCAGTTAATCAACTGACACCCAGCTAAAACCTAAATTTCAGTGCAAGAATTGTCTGTACCTGCCAGGGTCTGAGCAGCAGCACCCCTCTTTGACTTCTCCCTCTGCTCCCCTGACAGAGAACTCACTAGCACCTGCAAACCAATCTTACACTTTCTGCAGTGTGATACTGTGCCTTGACAACCCCCGCCGGGGACCTGCCCAGTGACCCTTCACCACCACTCCAGATGAGCTCCAGCTAAGCTGCTCACGGTGGGCAGGAGCTGACCATGTGCTTGAGTTGCACTGCTACAGCAAAAAATGCTCTGCCAGTCCCCATGTGGCACCAGCAGCTTACAAATACCATCCCCTGACAGTTCTCTCCCAGGGGTACCCTCCTCCACACAGGCCCGGGCACCACACCTCCCGCTGCCTCCGCCTGGCAAGGGCGGGTTTGCCGGTGCAGAAAGGGGAAGAGGGAAGGAAGCTGCTCCCCTGGTGCAGCACAGGCACCTCTGCGCTCCCCAGCGCTGGGCAGCATCAGTCCTTCCCTCCAGCTCCCCAGTCCCACTTAGCAGTTTTAGGAGGTTGGATGGTCCCATCTCAGTCAGGAGAAATCCCACACTGTGGGTTTCATGTGTTTCATTTTTGAAGCATCTACTGGCTCAGCATCTACACACAGCAGCACTTGCAAAGTAGTCGGTGTGTTTTACTCACCAAGATACTCTGTTCCATAGTAGGAATACATGAGTGGGAATGGTTTCCTCTTCTTCACTGCATACTGCTTTCCTGATTCTAGTATGGCCAGGCAAATTGATTTTATTTGTGCTGGGGTCAGCACCTAAACAGAAGCATCGAAACAAACATCAAGTGTACTATAATAATTTTATTTTTTACATGTTTTTCAAGACTGCTTTTTTGCTGGTGCACAAGACAAAGTACTGCCTTTAATCCTATGAGCATGCCACAAGGCACATCATTATGAAGTTTCTTACGTAAAACTAAATTTACATAATGTTTCTCAAAACCACAGTTTCATACCATCTCAGGAAAGTGAACATCAAAGTTTTAGCTGCATGGATGAGGTGAAAAGAGGTCCCCTAAGAGCTCCTGACTTTCCTTCCCAGAGATCCATCAATCTGATGGAAGCTGACAACAAGCACCAGGCAAGCTGCAGCACAGCAGCCTCCAGACGGGAGGGAGAGCCATTAGGAGAAGACAAAGGAAAACAGATCTATAGAAGAAGTAAATGTTACAGGCTTTATTGGGACATACTGAGCTAGACAGATTTTTCTCAGACAATATAAAAGAGGAAGAAAGGAAGAAGGTACTACATTTTACTGAAAATCAATACTGCATATGTGGGTTCAGAAACATCTTAGTAAAAGAATCAGGCCTTCTTACTTGAAGAAAACGCACAGAAAAAATAAGTGCAAGACAGGTTTCTATGAAGAGAAGCTAGCTATGTTTATGGGACTTTTATCATCACCACAGGTCAAAAATGCCTTTAATGCAGTCCTAAGAAATGACTAATGCCTTATTCTTAGTGGTGTCAAAAGTAACCAAGATTGACAAATCATATATTTCACCAGACATGAACTTTTCCAAGTTACTGACCTAAAGCATCCAGTGAGGAATTGGGTTTACAGGTTTTAACTACAGCTCTAATGCTACGCAATTCACTGCAATCATCTGCAATTTCCTCTGTGTCAGCCACATCTGTACATTACTGACCAATACCAAGATCATTAAAATAATTTAGTTTAAGTAGTGCTTTGGGTTTAGGGAAAAGCCTGTATGGCAGCTGTACTTTGCAAAATATACTTCAACTTATGAAAAGAGAGCCGAGACAGAAAAAAGGCAAAATGAGGCAGAAAAAAGAAAAAGCCTGTAGAAGTAGCCTTAACAAGGTAAGTAGCAATCCTGAAACTAACTGGAACACCAATGTTTCTGAGCACGTTTGCTTTTGCTATAATTTTTACTATCATAGGATTTACTTTTTCATGTTTAAAAAATACTGTTAGCATTAAGTATGGAGGCAACACCTGTTATAAACGCTATTCTCTCATTTGGCATGTCAAAGATGCAACGGATAATTAATGTCACTTAAAACTTGACTAAAAACTAATGGCTGAAAAATCTTGTTTGTCTATCTTACCTTGCTGCCTGATAACAAGGCACGTACTAATGCTGCTCCAAATGACGATGATATTTGTACAATCTGGAGAACAACCTACTTCTGATCTTGATTACTGTTCTTTAATGTTACTGCAGTAGAAGTAAACAAGCCCTTAACATCTGGAGATTTCACTCATTTCCAGTCATTTGAAAATGAATTGTTTTAGCTTCCCCAAATTTAAAGAAATGGTTTAAATCCTAAGCAAATGAGGCGAGCAAAGACACGGTGAGACATACTGCATTCTCTCCAGAGCCCTCATTTTACCATCTTGCAGTTTGGGCCATAGTCCTCCAAATTCTATACTTTGTAAAAGGATTAGTAAGGTAACCCTTTAAAAATAAATGTGAAGGATAAGATCTCCTAGTTGTAATTCTGGAAGGCAAAGGCACACTGGTTAGAAAAATCATAACCAGTTCACTTTCTGTATGTAATGGTTCCTTCACTTAATAAATCAACTGGCTTTCAGTACAAACCATTTTTTGCTAAACTTGTTTTTATCTTCAGTACATTTAATTTTTAAATCTAATTAATAACTATTTTAAAATGCTGCTTGTATATTTCAAATGGATTTAAACCTTGATCCAAATCCAGACTTGCACAATGCTGCAAAAAGAAGTATCAGCTAGCAAGAAATGCATTGTTCAACATTTTAAAATATAAAGTGTAAAAGGCCAAACATTTAAGCACTATGATTACTTAAATGTATACATAGTATACCCTTTTGGCTGTCATAATGAAATATGCTAATGAATATCACCTCTTTTTTAGAATGCAAAAAAATCTCAAATGCAAAGCCACATGAAAAATTATTATTTAAAATCATTATTAGAACGGATGATAGAAATCAACCCATTCTGACCCACTTCCACATTATCAAAGAAAATGGAAAAGAAAACAACCTGTGTATCTTGAAAGCAACATTTTTTCTGGCCACTCAGACTGACCTGTATGCTTAAATCAGGTAGGTGTGTCCTAACTAATAGCTAAATAAGAAAATTTTTGTGCTGACTCCAAATATCTCTTATCAAGTGCTTCAATCCACCATCATTGTATGGCTTCTGCCTGTTTTACAAAACACTTAAATATGAAGAATTTGTATTTGCTCCTTATTCTAGGAAATGGTTGCCTGGAACAGAAGTTCTCACCATCATTATTAGTGACCTTCCAAAGGCTGAATGATCAGAAATCACATTTAAGATCTCCATTGGCTTGCTACATTTTATTTCAACCAATTCTGTGTTAAAACCTCAGATTTCTTTCACCTTGCCAAGAAATAAAATCTGTGGCTAGTCTCTGTATGCTCCCTCACAAGATATTTAATAAAACAGCTAAAAACTTATGATCAAAATAACAATCATAGAATAAATTAATCATAACCACAGACAGTGTAGCCATCGTTCTACAGAGTTCATTTTAATTTCAGTGTAGTCTCAATGCCTCCTTGCCCCTGGGAATTACTGAAGCAGTATGTTTAATTAGGGACAGCAAAGAAGTAGACTGAACACCCAAAGGCTTTGAAAGGATAAATCGCATATTGATATTACGTCCTCTGGTGAAAGCTGTCAGATACTTTGATGAAGAATAAAGCCAATATGAGAATATGCTACCCAGAAGAAAATTTCATGCTTGAGGTACCTACATTTTTTTGAGAAACTTCTTGAATGTCATTTAATGTGAGCTGGCTACACAGTAGATAAAATTATTCTTTAACATGTCAGTACTTAGCCAAAAGACTACTGACACTAAGAGATATAATGCTGGTGGTTTAATATTTCAGCTAAGTCTTTCTGTATTTTTAATGACACCACAACCTATCCTATCACATTAGAAGTGTTCAATTTAGTCTCCTCACTAGATCAAAGTTTGGAATACATGCTTTCCACATTTCCCCTGCAATTTCTGTATCATTTGGTTGGTGGAGTTCTTTATTTTCTGTTTTAAATCATTGTCCAGTGATGATGCATGCTGTTAAATAACCATCCCAACTCATATTGGTGACAGCTACATTCCCATATACCTTTTACTTTAAGCACACACTTAAGCAGCACTATACTACTTAGCATTTGTACTACTGCCTATGCCTAGGGGACCTACTTACCATAAAAAAAGCCACCATGATTGTTTCTAAAGTCTTTCCATTTTTCTTTTGTGTCACTGCAGACAATATGCCTTCTCCCCTTAAGACCCTCCACAAATCTGTGAATTATTTAAGGCAGATACTTTATTCAGTAAATCCCTGTTAAAAGTCAGCAAGGAAGTGCTGTGTATACAGCAACCATGGAACATTGTCTTTTTTTGTTGTTAGCAGTCTTTCTCAACCTAAGATTGTTTTGTTGAAAGTAAGTAATTTCACAACTAAGAGAGACTTCATAATATATTGGTTATGACAATGCTAGGACCTAGATATGTGTTTCAAAAACTGCAGAGAAATCTTGACCTTGAGGATTAGGCAGAAAGAAGCAGGACTAGCTCTTCTTTGCTTCTGATTACAATAACGTTTTCAGCACTTTGTCATTCCTCTGAATGCTTACTAGAGGCTCCCTGGCTCATGATTTGCCTTTTGAAAAACACTGCCACATAAAACTGCATAGTGTATTGAGTATATTTTAAGACTGTAAGCCTTTAAGTCTTTTAAAAGATCTGTATTTATTTTCTTAGAGCTCTTTCCTGCATGTAACTAATAGAAAGCATTACTGAATGCCAAGTATCATTATCTTTTTATAGATGCATCAGTACTTTCAGGAGGTAATAGCTACACTTACATTATGGAAAAAGCTGCCTTCTATGCATGTAAAAAAATTAATATGCATCTAACACATCAAACCTCTCTCTGTCACACTTCTAAAAGTCCATTTACATGAATTTGATCATATGCTGTCTCTGATGCTGCAGAAAGTTTCAAAAATAAACTGAAAAAAATGGGCCAGTCTACAAAAACCCAACAGGAGCTTTGCTATTAGTCTCCTATGCTGGAAGCCCAGCAGAGGGAGCTTGTGAATTAGTTATAATACTCAAAAATGCTATAAAAAAAGATACGCATCTATGTTCATCGGGATAGTTGACTCAAGCAGAAAGATGATGGATCCAACCTGGTAATTTAATGATGCCCTACTGCACTGTGTGATGGTTAAGTTCACTCCTTAAGCTTGATCTTTTTCTACCAAAGGCAGGGGCTGGGATTGTTCAGGGACCTTTTTGTGCAATGTCATGGCCAATTTTTTCTTCTTTCAGATCATGCTAACACCTGAAGCCAGGGAAGAGTATCAGATACAAAGAGGAGGTCTGCCTCCTCCCAGTGTTTTTCCAGTTTGACTTATATACCTCTCCTGCAGCACAGTGGGAAACCCAGCTCCAAATGCACTGCTGTCTGCTTCCCTTACAAGCAGTGTCAAGTACACCCTTCTTTAAAAATAGAAAACACAAACCATTTTTCTTAAATCTGCAAACTTTGTTCAAGGAACCAGAGTAGTTCCTGAAGTACTACTGATACTGTTGCTAACACAGTATGCCTCGTGCTGTAACAGCACCATGAATAATACTTTCTAGAGAGCATACTTTTCCAAATTTCTTATATTAACACAACTATATAACAGTGTGCGTAGACTCAGCACATTAATACAATTGTGTCAGTTTATTGGAAAATGGTACTTGGCTGCAATCTT